GAGAGGCAGTGAAGAATTATCTTGCATTCTAGAAGGCTTTCAAATGTCCCAGAATTTCATGTAGCAGGAAAATGTATAATTAGCCTAAAACCGAGCTCCATCTTAATATAAACTCAATTTTCCAGGAATTAGATTTCTTTTAATTCATTTTCTTAATTGGAGTTGTTTTGTTTGGAACTTTATCAAGAATTCACGATTTGGGAAAATCTGTGTCACCAACTGCAGTGCCACTGTGCTATTTGAGTTGCCAGTGCAACACACCTGTCTTGGAAGATCTGAATTTGTAGCTGTCATATTTATGATAATTCTACATATTTGGGTGCAGGCATCTAACTTCTTTATTATACATTCTAATTTAGTTGTTATGTGTGAGCATTTATATGTGAAATACACAGTTTATTATATATTAATCTTTTTCTCCTTTATATTACACTTAAATTTTTAAAAAGTATGTGTAAGTTTGTTAGGATTTTGTTTCAGGATATAAATGATGTGTCACAAAAATGGGATGTTGTTCTGTTAGAGTTAAGAACCACTTTCTGATTATGTGCTGCTTGTCTTTGTATCAGTGATGGTTTACATTTGATAGATACAGTGTTTGTTGATTTGTTCAATTTATGGTTCCCAGATTGCTTTTATGTACACTGTTGCATTTGATTACCACAGTAAGTCTGTAAAGTTAGCAGGGCAGATATTGTTCCCATTTTATAGATGAGAGAATTGAAAGAGATGTTAACATGTCCAGTAATGCTGCTAGAGTTTTAATTAGAATATATAATTTTATTTATACCAGTATTGTGTACTTGTATACCATACTTCCATAATCTAAAGCTGTTTAATATAGGAATTATATATATACACTCTGCCGGTATTATTTTTTATACAAGGAACTTTTGTTTAAAAAAATGGTATTTTAATTTAGGTATCCTTTATTTTTTAATTTATTTTGGTGGCTGGCTGGTACAGGGATCTGAACTTGTGACCTTGGTTTTGTAAGGCTGTGCTGTAACTAACTGAGCTAACCAGCCAGCCAAGGAACTTTTAATTATGTTTCAGGCACTTGTAGTCATAGGAATACAACAAAGACAAAGAAATATGGGCAAGCTGTTCAAAGAAACTTGGAATTAAAATTTTTGAGATACCATTAGGCTCCCGAATAGCATAAATTTTAGAAATAATGACATCTGATGGTGAGATAAAATGGGGCTGAATGTTTTAGGCAAAAGAAATAGCAAGAGCAAGCATGTGAAAAAGCACATACAGAAATGCATTCATTGGACAATATGGAGCACTTATCGGTCTTAGGAATTGGGCAAATAATGGTGAATAAGACAAGTACTGTTCCTGTCCTAGAGCTTTTAGTCTAGAAATTAAAGCTGTTGTGAGGTTGGCATTCAGAAATTTCAAACTGGTCAGATTTGAGTTGAAGCTGTGTTTTATTTGGCATACATAGCGGTTTCTCTGGCTTCCTCTCCCTTTCTCCTTTCCCCCATGAGTAAGTCACCAGTACTTAAAAATGAGATTTCATATACCAATGGGCATTTTTTAGTTTCTCTTTAAATTGAAGATCTGGCAGCAGTGGACTAGCATTCACAAATGCCACTTCTGCTGGAAGTGAGTGGTGGCTACCCACTTTAGATGGGCATGCACTTGTATTCCTCAATACTTGTCTTCACAACTGGCACATTTTGTTTAAATAATTTGCCTGTCTCCTATATGCCTTTGAGTTGTGAGTCGTAGATCAGTGGTTTACTTCTGTTCCTGCACTCCTATATTTTCTTTGACAAATTTTAATAGGAGAAAGTACAGAAAAATGTGTTAATTTTTTAAAGGAAAATCTCCTTTTAAAACAATTAAACATTTTATTATTCAGACAATAACTACCTTTTACTGAGCAATATGTGCCAGATACTTTATATAGGTTTTCTTTTTTGAGTTCTGTATACCCTCCTTTTAATCCAGGTTCAGAGAGTTTAAGTAACTTTATTTGTCTGATTACTTAGTGGGAAAGTTGGGATTCTAATCCAGATCTCTGACTCAAAAACCCCCATGCTGGTAACTTTTGGTTATCTGGAAAGAGTATCTTCAACATATACTGTATTTATTGAATGCAAGGAAGTGCCAGATATTCAAAGATAAGAAAAAACTGCTTCTCTTCTTGGGGTTTATAATGAGTTGAGGAGACAGGCATTTATGTAAAGTGGATAACAATAGAGGAAAGCAAGTGTTAAATACCAAGTGATTGATATAAATTCTAATGAGGCTTAAAACTACAGCAGTGGCAGGAAGAATAGAAAGGAGACAAATAGAAATGACTAAGGTAAAGAGTCGTGTAACTTTGTGAAGGAATGTGGGGGTAGTGAAAGAGAAAGGGAGGTCAGAGATGATTTGTCAAGCTTTCCAAGGCTGGGTGATTGAGTGGAACTGATGCTTTAACAAATAAGGGTCATCAGAAGAGGAACAGATTTTGGTAGAAGAATGATGAGTTAGTTTTATTAATTCTGGGAGGAGGATTTTAAAGATTGAAGTAAACAGCAAAAGAAAATAAAAGCAAAGTAAGTCTGTAATGCAATAATATCAACGAAAAATAGAAAACAACCCAGCATGCAAAGTACAGGTTCCAATTCTGCTTTATCTTGTTATTCTTAGGCTGATAGCCTTTTCCTATTTCATGTAGGATCTTGAGGTCAAATAAGTTCCTTTAGTTTTGTGCATGTTGAATGGGTTCTTCTTTAATAGTCACTTTCTGTGTTTTAATTGATTGATATAAATTCTAATGAGGCTTAAAACTACAGCAGTGGCAGGAAGAATAGAAAGGAGACAAATAGAAATGACTAAGGTAAAGAGTCGTGTAACTTTGTGAAGGAATGTGGGGGTAGTGAAAGAGAAAGGGAGGTCAGAGATGATTTGTCAAGCTTTCCAAGGCTGGGTGATTGAGTGGAACTGATGCTTTAACAAATAAGGGTCATCAGAAGAGGAACAGATTTTGGTAGAAGAATGATGAGTTAGTTTTATTAATTCTGGGAGGAGGATTTTAAAGATTGAAGTAAACAGCAAAAGAAAATAAAAGCAAAGTAAGTCTGTAATGCAATAATATCAACGAAAAATAGAAAACAACCCAGCATGCAAAGTACAGGTTCCAATTCTGCTTTATCTTGTTATTCTTAGGCTGATAGCCTTTTCCTATTTCATGTAGGATCTTGAGGTCAAATAAGTTCCTTTAGTTTTGTGCATGTTGAATGGGTTCTTCTTTAATAGTCACTTTCTGTGTTTTAATTTCTTTTGAGAATAATTTACCTAAAATCTTTCGAAGGATTTAGTGGTCTTTTTTTTTTTTTTAATAACACCTTTATTGGGATATAATTCATATGCCATAAAATACACTATTTTAAAGTGTACAGTTCAGTGGTTTTTACAATGGTCACAGAGTTGTGCAACCATCGCCACTATCAATTTTAGGACATTTTCATTACTGCCAAAAGAAACCCCATGCTCATTAGCAGTCACTCTTTGTTCCCATTTTCCTCACCCCCCGGCAATTACTAATCTGCTTTCAGTTTCTATGGATTTGCCTTTTCTGAATATTTCATATAAATGGGTTTATATAATATGTGACCTTTTGTGACTGGCTTCTTTCACTTAGCATGTGTTGTTTAGATTCATTAATGTTGTAGCATGTATCAGTACTTCCTTTTTTATGGCTGAATAATACCCTATTGTGTAGATATACCCATTTTATGAGGGTACTTCAAAAAGTTTGTGGTCTTGACCATACTCACCACAAAGTAAAGATAAATGTTCAGGTGATGGATATGCTGTCTACACTAAGTGCATCATTGTACAGCATATACATGTATTGAAACAACACCCTGTACTCTACAAATATGCAAAGTAAAGATAAATGTTCAGGTGATGGATATGCTGTCTACACTAAGTGCATCATTGTACAGAATATACATGTATTGAAACAACACCCTGTACTCTACAAATATGCATAATTAAATTTTAAAATAAAAAAGTTGGTGGAAAAATAGAATTAAAAGATGATATGAATCTGCCCATGAACTATTTGAAGTATCCTTGTATTTATACAATTGTCAGTAGATGGACATTTGGGTTGTATCTACCTTTTGGCTGTTATGCACAATGCCACTATGAATGTTCATGTATAGGTTTTTGTGTGGACATAGGTATTCATTTCACTTGGGTAGAATTTCTAGGAGTGGAATTGCTAGGTCATATCCATTTTGTAGTCACATAAACAATGTATGAAGTTTCCAGTTTCTCTCCTTCTTCCCCAATGCTTATAATTGTCTGTCTTTTTGATTTGTTCATCCCAGTGAGTATGAAGTAGTATCTCATTGTGGCTTTGATTTACATTTGCCTAATGATTAATGTTGTTGAGCATCTTTCGTGTACCTATTGACCATCTTCTTTGGAAAAATGTCTATTAAAGTCCTTTTGCCCATTTGAAAATTGGGCTATTTGTCTTTTTATTATCAGTGACAAAGATGGGTGTTAACTGTTAGCATTTCGTACCAGGTGATGGTGAATTTTTCATATATATTAGTGAAAGACTTTTAGATTTAACTAACTGTTAAGAATGTTTTAAAGTGCTGATCCTCATAAGTAATCTTTTATGTAATTTTTTTTTCTTGGTGGCTTCTGGTACAGTAATCTGAACCCTTGACCTTGGTGTTATCAGCACCATGCTCTAACCAAGTAAGCTAACTGGCCAACCCTCATAAATAATCTTTTTATGAAGTCCTATTAAGATTTTACTTTGGGGTGACTAGTATAGTCAACAAGACTTGATTGAGTATGCCTCTATAATAATAAGGTCTAACTTTAATATTTTTGGAATGTCAGAAACAGCAACATTTTAATTAAGTAATTTTAAACTCTAAGCATCAAATTCAATTATGTGCATTCAGTCTTTTCTCTAGTAATTGAATCTATTTTGTGAAATGTGTTGTCTTTTTTTAAATTTTTTATTTTAGGTTATCCTGAATACCACATGTCTAAGGATTTTCCTTGCAACATTAGCCATTGTTTTTCACTGCCTCCAGAAGATCAATATTGCTTTGGAAGTTGGAGGCATATTTGATTTAAAAGAAGAAACTTGACAAATGGACAATATGTCTATTACGAATACACCAACAAGTAATGATGCCTGTCTGAGCATTGTACATAGTTTGATGTGCCATAGACAAGGTGGAGAGAGTGAAACATTTGCAAAAAGAGCAATTGAAAGTTTGGTAAAGAAGCTGAAGGAGAAAAAAGATGAATTGGATTCTTTAATAACAGCTATAACCACAAATGGAGCTCATCCTAGTAAATGTGTTACCATACAGAGAACATTGGACGGAAGGCTTCAGGTTAGTCTTATAGTAGATACTAGAGTTTTTCTGTGTTTAAAAAGAAAAAAATCTTGTTTCCTCTTAAGTTACTACAGGATAATTTAATGCATGCTCCATCTCTTCAGATACTATGCATCCAGTACCAATATGCATTATGGGAATATATGGAAGTGTGTAAAAGATATATCTTTAAAGTTTATTAATGTTCTGACTCAAAAGTTTAGTGAAGAAAGTTTGGAAAGTCGAAATAAAAAGCAGAAGAAAACCCACACTCTGAGAGAACTAACTTTAGCACTTCAGTATTCATCCTTGTAACCTTTTTTCTTTTTTAGTATTGTGTGCATGTTTTAAAAACTGAATTACACTTGGTCCTTTCTAATTTAGAAATCTGATATTATATGTTCCACTGATACAAAATGTTTCACTGGTCACGTTTTTCATGGAGAGCTATATAATACATCTCCTGTGCTTAAAGAAACTTATAGAAATCCTACGTTGTTAGATTCTAAAATTTCATTTCTACACCTTAGGTATAGTTTCTACAACAAATTCCTACTTTTTGTACTTTTAAAATCTGAGCACAGGTTTTGAAATTATACCTATGTTCAAATTCTAGATCTGTATAACATGGCCAAGTTAGTTATTTTGAGCTTTAGTTTTCTCATTTATGAAATGGGAATTATAATACTGACACATGTCAGTATTATAAACCTACTGACTTGTAGGCATGTGAGGACTGAGAACACATATAAAGTGTTTTGCATAAGGTCTGACACATAACTGGTGTTCAATAAATGGTCTTTAATTTTCCTAGGTGGCTGGTCGGAAAGGATTTCCTCATGTGATCTATGCCCGACTCTGGAGGTGGCCTGATCTTCACAAAAATGAACTAAAACATGTTAAATATTGTCAGTATGCATTTGACTTAAAATGTGATAGTGTTTGTGTGAATCCATATCACTATGAACGAGTTGTATCACCTGGAATTGGTAAGTAGACTTTGCTGTTATCCTTAGGAATATGAAGAGAAAAGATTCTAATAGTGTTTTAATTTTTCTAAGTTAAATTATGAATTTGGAGATAGCTTAGAACTTCAAATAAGGTTAAAGAAGCAGAAGTCTTTAATGAAATATAAGTATTTAAGTTTGAACTTGGGAACAAACTTGTATTTTGACTGCTAAAACTAAGTATCTGTAGTTGATATTTTGCCATTTGCAACATTGTTTTTGGAAAATAAGATGGAAATCAACATAGACTTTAAATACTTAGCTTATGTATTTTTAGATGACATTTATGCTACTTCTGAATTGAAATGGTTCATGAAGTTTTGTAGTCTGTGGCTTACATTTACATTCTGTAATTTTTAACATGGGAAATATATTCATTGTAATAATTAATGTTTCTTTTTTTTTTACTCTTAAAAAAAATTAAGATCTCTCAGGATTAACACTGCAGAGTAATGGTAGGTAATCTGTTTCTTGTAACTTTCTCTATTTTCTTTTATCCTGTCCCCTCTATTTTTTTTTTTTTTTTGTTCACCTAGAATTAGTTTGCGTGGGTGCCAGTAACATTAACAAGAAAAAAACTTATTGCTTTGGAAATGTAGATTTTTTTTGGCATGCATCACCATTTAAAACTGGATTTAAATCACTTATTGGCTCTTTGGATTTGAACTGTCATTTATGAACTAAAATACTCTAAAAAATATGATAGAGGAATGCACCAAAAACATAAATACAATGGAAAATATTTTATGAATTGATAAAAACTGGTTATTTTGGAAGAAAATCTCACAGAGCCAGTTTAAATGGATACAAGTACCTGTAATTTTGCTAATTTGGAGTTGTGTATAACATATTCTTTAAAAATACTAATAGATGAGTCTGAGTGCAGTGGTGTTTAAAACTAATTGACCACAACCAGTTAGATTTCTTTGTTTCTTCTACACTCCCAGTGTTTCACCTGACTCACCTTAAAAACAAAAAGACCCAATATTCAAAACAATACACTGTGGGCCGGCCCCGTGGTGCACTCGGGAAGAGTGCAGCACTGGGAGCGCAGCATCGCTTCCGCCGCGGGTTCGGATCCTATATAGGAATGGCCGGTGCGCTCACTGGCTGAGCGTGGTGCGGGTGATACCACACCAAGGGTTGCGATCCCCTTACCGGTCACTAAAAAGACAAAAAAAAAAAAAAAAAAAACCCAACAATACACTGTGCACCACAAATATGTACAATTAAAAATAAAATTTTAAAAACAATATTTTAGTTTTTATTTCAGTCTAACTTATTTTTAATGTTGAGAATGATTTAAAATTACATATATTAGTATTTTTTCAATCATTTACATTTTGAGTAAATTAAACAAGGCTAATTAAAGTATATGCCAATCACAGCTTATCTAATCCTTTTTAAAAAGAGTTTTGAGATGAGAAAATGAAACACAAATGGGTGTGGTTTTTTTTTGCTTTTTTCATGTAATATTGGAGAATGGAGTTACTATTAAATCTTTATCTCTGTTACTTCCAACTTGTTAATGAACTAAAACTTCTGTAAGAACTAATTAATGTGCAGAGAAACTCTGATAAAGGGCCACTATCATCTTAGAAAGGTGTGTGCTGTTGATTTGGAGGGAAATTAGCTTAGCTCCTCTTTTGTTACAGAATCTTAGAGGTGGGGCAGAAATATCATGTGACCTTAAACAAAATTTAGGAAGTGCATACAAATCTGTTTGTTTTTATTCTCTACTTTTCTTCCACCTCACTAATAATAGAGGACTCTTTCACAGTGCCTTGTGGTACTTGCTAATAATTAGTAGGTTTCTGAGAAGTGTGGGTTGGTAATGGGAAGTCTTGTCATGGTCTGGGAAGGTAGTTTTCAGATTGGTTAAAGCCCCGCTTCTTTGTCACGCAGACATTGATATCACATCACTTCTTTTCTTTGAAAGTGAACACCATTCAGGTCTTCAGTATTCTCCCATGTTTTTGGAGAATTAAGGCATTTAACTCAGTGGGTACTATGGGTTGGGAGACTTCAGTGATAACTATATCAGAATCTCCCTATGAGGGTGGCTGTGAGGGGGTCCAAATTCTGAAGATTCATCACACTCCTCCTCTATCCTAAAATTATTGCTGTTCTGAGTACTGATTATTGATGGGATTGTGTGGACTGATGACCTCTCTTCAGTGACTCTCTAGGACTGTATTCAGCCTTGTGGATCCCCCTAGCGGTGGTTATATAAAAGCGGTGTTCAGTGACTTAATTCCTCAGGAAACAACAGGTATTTCTCACTACTCCTAGATTCGGACAAAGAAGTGTAGTACAAGGCCAGGTAACTAAAAGTTAAGAAAATGGAATAATTCCTTCATTTCTGAGTTGGGGTCTTGTAACCACGTCCAGCCTGTCTCATTTCTTCCATGAAACTTTCCATGACCACATTGACTTGTGTATTATTTCAACAATTATTTAATGTCCGGTGCTGTGTAAGGTTCCAGGGACGTTAAGATAAACAAGGTATGTTTTCTCCACTCTAGAGAACTGGTAGTGTAGTGGACAAAAGAAAAAGTAAGAGAGTGACAGTAGTATCAAACAAGTGCTGTGGCCTGCCTCCTGCTGATGGTAAAAAACACAGACATAGGATGGACACAGTGGCTTCAGCTTTTTTTTGCCTATAGGGGATATATTCTTTACCCCTCATAGGACAGTTTGCAATCACTGTATATGTTTATGATTACTCTAAAAATATGGTTAAATAATAATAGCTAACACTTGCTGAGTACTCATTGTGTGTCAGGTACTGAGCTAAATGATTTATGAGTATTGTGTCATAATTCTTATAATACTCCTACATGATAGGTGGGATTATCCATACTGGTGACTGGAGAGATCAAGGAACTCGCCCCGGATTAGACAGCCAGCTGAAGCTGGAGCAATGTGTGCTTGCTATTAGATATTTAAACAATAGAAAAATATTACCAAAGACTGTAAGCTACATGAAGGCAGGGATATTTGTTTTGTTTATTGATATATCCCAATTGCTAGAATAGTACCTAGAACATAGGTACTCAAGAAATATTTTTTTCAATGAATGAATTTGTTGAATACTAGCCCATGAAGGGAAATATTAACAGTTTAGTGTCTGTTTTTCTGGACTTAAAAAAATATATACTATATGTTTTTTTTTTAATTTTATTTTTTTGAATAGGCAATACATGGTCCATAAATCAAAATACTATAAAAAGGTATACAGTGAAAAGAAGTGCTTTCACCCCTGCCCCCATTCCCCCCTACCTCAGGTAATCACTTTTATTAGTTTCTGGTGCTAAAAATACAGGTATTATTTCCCTCCTTTCTTACACGAAAAGCATACCGTGCACACTGTTCTGGACCTTGGTTTTTTTTTTTTTTAACCTACAGTATATGAATTTTAAAAACAAGCATGTGATCATAGTGTACAATAGTATTTTGTAACTTGCTGTTTTCCTCTTGGGAAATATATATTGCAGACTTTATCATTGTTGATACCTTTAGTTTTACCTAAGAAACATGTTTTAGGTTATTTGATTAAAGAGATCTGTAGACTTGTAGAAGTCCCAAACTTAAATTTGGGAAGGTTTAGCCAACATACGTATTAAGACAAGAAAAATTTATGAGGCATAGCTATCTAAAAGCAGAATACAGTTGGTACTTGAAGATGTTATGATTGCTCATTAATCTGAAGAGTCAACTGAAAAGCAGAAGCCATGAGTATCAAGTTAACTAGTTATATCCTCAAATCAGTAGTCTGTCCTTATGAGTATGTACTAGCAATACTAATATATTGGTAAAAAGATCCTGGTTATTATAACAATAAAAAAACTTAAAATGTGGTGCAGATAACACCAAGATCAAGCGTTCAGATCCCTGTAGTGCAAAAAACGCCCCCTAAGATGTTCAGGAACTAAATAGAGGTGTCAGGATCTATGTGAAGAAAATCGCGGAACTTTGTTGAAGAGTATAATAAAAGACTGAAAAAATGCAGATGTACCCACTTTATGCCCCAGTTTTTTCTTTGTATTATTTTTATAATTTGACCAACATTAGTGATGTCCAGTGTTTACTGACATATAATGATGTAATAAGCATCCTTTTGATTATCTTTTTGTTTCTGTTGAATGTTCTGAAGAGCACCTTTTTGGAGTGGAATTTATGGGTCTTAAAAATAACATCATTATAACTTGATGCTTTTTAAGAGGTTGTACATAGAAACTTGAACAATGGGTTATTTATACTGCTTTGAAATAGTCTCAGTTTAATAAAAGATAGCCATGTAACTAATTGATATTTACATGTAATAGTTTTTTAAGAAGTTTGATAATAGAGAAAGGTAAGGGAAGCAATATGCTGGGTTTTAGTGGAAAAGGGAATGACTTTGTCGATTATTAATTGACTGGTTTAAGAAGAGAACCTAATATTAGAGTTGAATGGATTGTAAAATTATGGAATAGTGTTAGTTCAGAAGCAGTAAAAGATTGTTTGCTAAAGATAAAAAGCAAATCCCAAAACAATAGCCCCAAAACAAATGGGGAGGTTCTGGGCAGAGAATTGACACTACAAATGCAGTTCAGTTTTTTTTTTTTTTTTTTTTTTTTTTGTACAACAAAGCAAACCATTCCTTAGTTTGTTAATGGAAAAGTGTTATGATATATCAGCTAGAGTCTAGCTTTGCCTATTGAGGTGTAACCACATAAGTGAAAGATGTTGATTGTTGAGTTTTTTCATCCCACATATTTATCAAACATCCTTATTTGAATTGGGTTTCTAGGAGGAAATTTCAGTGTGACTTATGTAGGATATTTCTGTTTGGTTTTAAACCTATACGGGACATTCAGTATACTTCATTTTCAAAGAATATGTTGCTTAATAGTAATTCTAGATACTGGAACTGGAAAACTTTCAGATCCCATTCATATCTCTGCAGTGCGAAATTAGCAAAAAGATATAGCTAAGTACTAAGTCTTAATTTTGGCTGAATAATTGGTTTTCTCAGCTGGATAAACATTTTCCCAGCCATTTGGTTTTTGCCTACCTCATATTATGTATTTAGGTGATTATTACTTCTAGGTTTATCAAGAAACTGAGGAATACCTCTTTAGGACCATTGTTGGAGGCTGCTGGAATACATTCTAGCTTCAGATTTCAAAGAGTCAGATTGATTGATAAAATATATTTGATACTACTACCTCTAAATAAATGCTGATATTACTGATAAAGTAGTATGCTTTAAAAATAATATGAAAAAAATTCTGAAGTAGAGTTATTTATACTATAGCTGATTTTAGGTGTTGTTATACTTGCTTATAAGATATTTTTTTGGGGGGGAATAAGAGCTTATAAAATTTTACAATATGTTTAATTTTCCACACAGCTCCACCAAGTATGTTGGTGAAGGATGAATATGTTCATGACTTTGAGGGACAGCCATCGTTATCCACTGAAGGACATTCAATTCAAACCATCCAGCATCCACCAAGTAATCGTGCATCGACGGAGACATATAGCACCCCAGCTCTGTTAGCTCCCGCTGAATCTAATGCTACCGGCACCACCAACTTTCCCAACATTCCTGTGGCTTCCACAAGTGAGTTGTAGAATCAGGTGTAGTCAGCAAGTTGAATTTTCCTAACCATTGAATATTTATGTATAGTCACTTGGAGGAAAATTTCAAGTAAGTAAAAATTAAAAGTTAAAAGTACTGTGGCATCTTTCATAGGTAAACAAGTATTAAATAGGTGTTCGGGTCAGCCCTGGAAAAAATGGTGTTTGTAATTTATTTAAATGCTCTTATATTGATGTACTGCCACTTGGAATTTAAGCAATGGCTTTAATTATAATATTGATTTAGATTAATTATCTAACTTATACTTTACTATTACATGCAGAAGGAAGGAGCCTCTTGAGCTTTCAGATAGATTTTAGATAAATATTTAAGTAGTTAACAAGTAGTTTTGAATTAAGATGTTTAGAAAGATCTGTGTTAATGAGAGTACAGCCTTTCTTTTAATCCAGTGTTCTTTGCTTTATCTGGGAGAATTTTACTTTATAGTAGTCATCTCATTTTCCCATTGTGCAAGCACAGAAAAAGGGATCTTGATAAACTTGTTTATAACATATATCCCCCAAGATAGACATTAAGTATTTTAGTCAATTTTGATATAAAGCTAAATTCTACATCTCTCTCTTTTTTAATGTATGTATTTATTTTTTAATGAGAAGTCTGTTTCAAAAGGGTTCTTCCCATGGCAGAGGTGTTACCTTCTCTGTCATGTCATAGGAGGGAGAGGGCCACTGGGTTCAGCTTTTCTCAGGGCCTAATCAAGGCAGTATGACGTGGTTCTGTTATTACTGCTATTTGTTTTCACAGTCACCAAAGGTTGGACAGTTTGCTGCTTTTTTTTTTTTTTTTTTAATTAATCACAGAGCATTGTCTAGGCATGTTTATGGGGCTACTTGTAACTGGTTGCTAAAAGGATTGTATCTAAGGCCAGCAATAGATTGTTGATAGATCTGGACTCATAGTTTCTTAGTAGCTACCAAAGGGGCTCTTATTGTATTTACTTTAATATCAGATCAGATTCAATGTAGAAATTTTGGTCTTTGGAATAAATGGGGGACTGATTTCTGCAATTGTGAATTTTAAAGTAAAGTGTACCAAATTTTCCTCTCTTTAATTCATTCACACCTTCAAAGCAGTATCTTTTTGGTTTGCTACATGAGAGATGACAATCTCAGCACGGACAGCATATTCTAAGTAGGTTGTGTAGGTTAAGCACTTTAGAACTTGGGCCCTTAATTACTTGGTGCTTCTGTTGTCTACTTTTCATTAACCAATTTAGGAATATGGTTCACAAACAGCAGGTAGTGAGAGAAAATGAAAGAAGGTACTTTGCAACCACTTGAGCATAGATTAGTGCTAGAGCACAGCCACCTACATCTGTTTAAATTATCTGAAGATTGAATTTCTATGCCTTTGTTAATGTTTACTAAAGTGACTTCATTTTGATGTTCTGTTCTGTTTGGTTGATTTCTATTTGAAGTCCAGAAAAAGTGTGTGAATGAAATGCAGCTAATTTTGTCTTGATATTTTGGGGGTAGATTTTCATAGTCGAATGGTAAATTCTGCAGGTTTTAGAACTTGTGGCAAAATGTTCCCCTAGATATCAAAAAATATTAATAGAAGTAAAAGAAAAAAAGGAAATTGGACTAAAATAGAGGTTAGAAGGCTATTTTACATGAGCTGATTTAGGTGTATTTAACTTTATCTTATGCACTTGGAATTATGTAATGAAAATATTCAGTAAAGATTAACTGCAGTGAGCCACTTTACAATTTATGTTAATTTAGCATCTGAATATCTTCATGATTTCTTTCTAAATATCTGTAATTTAAAATTATTTAATTTCTGTGTAGTGATAGTTTTTGCAAGTTAGCTAAAAGTGTATAGCATGTACAATTGTTAAAAACAAGCAAAAACATAAGTAACCTTTAAAGATAATTTGCAGAAATTTGGGGGATGAGTAGGAAAGAAGATTGCTAAAAGCATTATCTTTAAAAATAAATAATTTGGGGGGTATTGAAATATTCTCTTTAGCTTTTGATTTTACAATCCTTAGCTTTTAGGGACGTGATATGTAGAGACAAGAAAAATGTTCCTTTTCCTTGATACTTTGAGCAATGTTGACATACTTTGTTCTATATAATTACACTCCCATTTAGATGAGAAAAGAATGAGGTGATGCCAGTGACAGGTAACAATTATGACATTTCAGTGCTTTCTAAATGGGCTAAACAATTGATTTAATTAATGCTTGCTTTAAGAAATCATGCTTTTTTTGCTAAAACAAACAACAAACAAAAAAACCCTTAAAAATGTAAGACAGTAAGCAATATCATAGAATGGGTTTTGAATAGAACAGAAGCCAGAGGAAGCTTAGTCCTGCTATATTACATATAGAGAGGGCAACTAATTTTGTGGAAATCTGTGAATATGATGGTGTTCTTGAAAAGACATGATTCTTATTTTGTTTTTCTTTTTTTGGACAAGTCTGAGGGTTAAAATCTTGGTTTTTAAAAGCACATGAAAAAATTTCGAAGTAGACTGATAGGTGGTTTTTGTTTTTGTTTTTTTGTTTTCAACCAAGAAATGCTGTATAGATTGAGTATTCCTTAGACGAAATGCTAAAAACCAGTGTTTTCAATTTTGGATTTTGAAATATTTGCATGTACATAATGAGATATCTTGGGAGTGCAACCCATGTCTAAACAAGAAATTAGTTTATGTTTCATATACACCTTATGCACATAGCCTGCAGGTAATTTTATACAATACTTTTAATAATTTTGTGCATGAAACAAAGTTTTGGCTATGACCTGTCATGTGAGGACAGGTGTGGAATTTTCCACCTGGTGTCATGTCAGTGCTCAAAAAGTTTGAGATTTTGCAATATTTTGGATTTCAGATTTTTGGGATGCTCAACCTATATCAATTAGACGGTGGAGCTAGATTCTTTTAACTTCCTCAGCTTCCCCATCACATCCCATTTAAAATATTTGCTTACTCTGCTTTTCTTTTTATCAATCTAGCCTTCTGCCATTACCACTACCAGTGCTGATAATAATAAGCTTTCCAGTTTTCATCATTTTCTTGAACCTGGATTTTTGGGGTCCTAATCAGAAAGGTCCAGAGAGAGCTGGATGGAATGATCAGGAGTGAACTGATATGCTTTTGAAGAAATTAATATGATAGGCTAGACATATAATGGGATTTTGTTGGCATTTGGAGAATATTTGTGAAGAAATAGTCCACTAAAATTGGCTAGACATTACTTAAAAGGAATAATTTTGAATTTCTTCAAGTTAAGGTTTGCCTTTATACATGACTTGAGGTTTTTTATTTAATAGGCAATGGGTGAGTTCCACTTTTTGCCCATCTTTATGATTGTGTATTATCAGGTATTATTGGTCCTTCATTTATTTTATAAGATCATAGGACTGCACCTATAAATGTACCATGTTAATGTCTTCTCATTCCTCTAGGTCAGCCTGCCAGTATACTGGCAGGCAGCCATAGTGAAGGACTGTTGCAAATAGCTTCAGGGCCTCAGCCAGGACAGCAGCAGAATGGATTTACTGGTCAGCCAGCTACTTACCATCATAGTATGTACATACTTTTTAAAATCTTTTAAGTAGTTGAGAAAAAATAGGCAGCCTTTATAAAAGCAAATTAATCCATGTGGGCCTTAATTTTTAGACAGCACTACCACCTGGACTGGAAGTAGGACCGCACCATACACACCTAATTTGCCTCACCACCAAAACGGCCATCTTCAGCACCACCCGCCTATGCCGCCCCATCCCGGACATTACTGTAAGCTCTTGTTTTTGTTGTAAGGGCTTTTTCTTTTGTAGGACTTTGTTTTCTTTTTGTTTTTTAAAAAATGTTTTTACATCTTTTATTCATCATACAATTTACTCTCATTAAATAATTAGTGCTTCTCAGTATTTTTGTAAATAGTATTATTTATTTTTCATAGTTATATTATCATACCTTTGTTTTAGAGAAGTGATGTTTACTAAATACATTTATTTCTCTGTTGCTGATGTTGCATTAACACCACATTGAATTCCATTCATTTGTTTGTTTGCTTTGTATATGTTCTTAGATCTCATGTGTATCTTGTATGCCACTCATAGTGGATTGAAATCCCTTGAGTGATAAGTTCTCAGAGTTTCCCTCACCATAGTATTCAATGTACCACAGATACTCAGATGTTGAATCTCTTGATACTTTGTGCAGGCATGGTTGGGAAGGATAACCTACAGATTGATAGCCTGTAGTTTCAGGTAGAGTAGGAGGAACATTATTCATTTGGTTTAGTAAAATCAAGAGTAAAAGTCTTTCATGTACATAAATCTCTTGACTCTCACTATAAGATTTATAGCACCAAAGAAAACTTGGAAAATCCAGAAAAGAATGAAGAGGAAAATTAAAATTACCCAGAATCCTACCACCCAGAGATCTTCACTTCTAATATTTTGTCATTTTCCTTCCAGTCATATAAATGGGTATATATAAATTTGGGGACGAGGGGGTCATGCTATATGTATATTGTTACTTCTTCCTTTTTTTTTTCAGTTATATTACTGTTTTTCTACATCTTAAGAAAATATGATTTTTAATGACTGCCTGGGCCAACATAGTTTTATTAAGGGTGCTTGGTTCGGACCCTTAACTAGCTATGTGACCATTGGCAAGTTATTTAACTTCATTAAGCCTTAAATATAATAATAGTAGTATCTACCTCAAGTAGTATTGCAAGAAATGAATGTAATAACTCAAGTGAGGTGTTTAATACAATGTCTTAACACATAATAAGCTTTCATAGTTACTATTTCATTATGTAAATATCTTTAGTTAACATAAGCCCTTATTTTTAGAATAGACCTAACAATTTAAATTATTATTATACATTGTGCTATAAATTACATTGTATTACATGTTACATGAATAATTCATTTATAATCTGTGTTAAATATTGCATGTAAAACTCTATTGCTGAATAGCACTTTGCACATAGCACTAAAATGTAAGCTGTTAAATATCCACAAAAGTAATTCAAGAATATTTGCTTATTATAATTAAAAAGCAATCTAAACTAAGCTTTTAAGTTCTTAGCCATTGCATAAGCTTGATCTAAACAACTCCTAAGGTATGATAGTAGTATTTAAGTAAGGTTTATTAAAAGGTTTAGCATTGGAAAACTTTTAATAAATAAAAATGGGATTTTTATTGTCTTTTCTTTAGGGCCAGTTCACAATGAGCTTGCATTCCAGCCTCCCATTTCCAATCATCCTGGTAAGTGTATTTCAAAATTGATTCCTTATATTTAGATTTCTTTATGGTAATCGAAACATACACATGCAGGTTTTAATATAATTACGGGGTAGCTTAACTTTTCTGATAAGTACAATACTCATTATGACACGAGTTAACAGCTTTTAAGAGTAATCAATATAGTCATACATATATTTAGATTTCTTTATGGTAATCGAAACATACACATGCAGGTTTTAATATAATTACGGGTTATATTATAATTAATATAACTTTTCTGATAAGTACAATACTCATTATGACACGAGTTAACAGCTTTTAAGAGTAATCAATATAGTCATATATAGACTATATTTAATTCATTCTAACTGTCTCTGAAAGAAAAGATAAGAACTATGTTTTCTGCTAAAATAAAAAGTATGAGAACGCTGACTTCAGCACTGAATATGTAAATGTGCAGCAGAATAAATCTAGGTTTCAAAATAGAACATCTGTAAAATTAGCTTAAAAAGTCAGGGAAGTATCTTAAGTAGATGCTGAAAAGAAAAATAATTCATTGTATTTGTCTTGGAAGAGATATTTAGGAATCTCTGGTTAACAGGAATTTAGAAGCTATTTGATTAAATTATGTTGAAGGAGTAAATAGCTAAGTAGCTTTCCTCAATTCAAAGTTTGTATATAATTTTTTAAAGTATAGAAGTAATAAAATGGAAAAAGTTTGAAAATAAATACTGAAGGTCCTTTATGACACAAACACAGGAATTTGAATTTTTTCCTTCTAACCCTTCATATCTATTTTTCTTAACTTAAAAATGCAAATATATGGGCCGGCCCGGTGGCGCACTGGAGAGTGCGCTGCTTGGGAGCGCGGCGGCGCTCCCGCTGAAGGTTCGGATCCCATGTGGAGACCGGTTCCCGCTCACTGGCTGAGCGCGGTGCGGGCACAACACCGAGGGTTGCGATCCCGTTGCCGGTCCTCGGTACGGGTGCCGCTCACTGGCTGAGCGCGGTGCGGGCACAACACCGAGTGTTGCGATCCCGTTGCCGGTCCCCGGTACGGGTGCGGTACAGGCGTGACACCGAGGGTTGCGATCCCGTTACTGGTCAGTAAAAAAGACAAAAAGGGGAAAAAAAAATGCAAATATATTATTCTAACCCATCACCTTAATATTTTTTGTAAGCATACTCTCAATTTTCTCCCTAATTTAAAAAAATTATTATGAAGAATTTCAAACATACCAGGGTAGTATAGTAAATTTCCCCATTTTACTCATCTCTCAGTTTCAGCTATTATCAATTAATGTCCGATCTTGTTTCATTCATACTTTTACCCTCCTTCTCCCTTCTGTATTATTTTGAAGCAAATCCCAAATGATCATTTTATATGTAAATATTTTAATATATATTTCCAGTAAAGATTTTTTAAAAATATAGAACCACAGTGCTCATAATGATTAATTTAAAGAGTAACTTCTAGTTCTCAAATAGACCTACACAATTTTCTTTGTGTAAATAGTTTCTGTTACTGATTATTTATGTTGGTTCCAATTTTTCTTCTTGCTGTTTAAAAAAAAATTGAGGGGAAGATCTTTGTGCTTATAACTTTTTGCATATTTCACTTTAAGAGATTTATAGAATTTCTGGATCAAAAGGCCAAATTGCTTTACACTGACCCCATCACAGTATGAGAACCAGTTTTACCATGCTCACTAGCAGTAGATATGATAGTTTAATAAACTTTTGCTGATTTAGGAGGCAGATAATATAACGGTACTTCAAAAAGTTCATGGAAAAATAGAATTAAAAGATAACATGAAGGACCGACCCCATGGCGCACTCGGGAGAGTGTGGCTCTGGGAGCGCAGCGGCGCTCCCGCTGCGGGTTCAGATCCTATATAGGGATGGCTGGTGCGCTTGAGCGCAGTGCTGGCGACACCACGCCAAGGGTTGCGATCCCCTTAGCGGTCACAAAAAAAAAAAAAAGATAACATGAATCTTTCCATGAACTTTCTGAAGACCCCTCATATTTGTTTTGGTTAGGAGAAAAGTGCTGCTGGTGGAACAGAAACATTTTTAAAATTGTATATATTTACTAGTTAAATTTTCTCCTTAATGGATTTTCTGTCTGTGTTACAGTGTGTTTTTTATGTGTTCATTAAAGATTCTCACAGGGCATTTTATTCAGATCTGAATAATAAAAGGAATAATTCATAGAAGGTGATTAAACCAAATTTTTAACTTTTTCTTGAATGATTTTTTTTCCCCGAAAATTAAAGGTAATGCCTTGGAGACTTAAATTTTCCATTATAATTGAACAATATTTATTTGGTAAAACTGTGTTTTATAATACATTTCTCTATGATGAAAAATATTTAGCTACGTTCTTATGTTGTAAAAAAAAAAAATTCATGTTGTTAACTCAGTCTTTTAAAACCTTTTCTCTGGCCAGCCCATGGGCATAATGAGACTGGCTTAACTTCACTAAGTTAGGAGCAAAAATTAAAGTCAGCACATAATATTCTCACTCCCCTTCAAATAAGTTGGGGCATTAAGAAAGCCCTGTCTGAACTGAGTAGTTCCACTCTTTTGTAGATGGTAGTTTTGAGAAGCTGCAGGGTTGTCATATAGATGGTATTTGGTCCTTGGGGCAAAAGAACAAAGAGAGATCCAGAAAGTTTTAATGGGTGTTTCCTATTACCTCCATCTGTTTTTAAAATAAAAATATTCCTATCTGACTATTTAGCAAATTAAGAGTGGAGCAGTAAAGTTTTTCACATAGTATTCTGTATCCCAGCACAGCCAGATTCTCTGGGACTTTATGTCTAGGCCTCTCTGTCCTCACAAATAGCAACTCCCTTTTTCCTGCTTTCCTAGGCTGCATTTTTCATCTCTGGTCTGTGGTGCAACTCTGATGTCATTTTTTTTTTTTTTTTTATCAAGTTACTTAAAACTCTTTTTCCAGTACTATCAGGTCACGTCATATTAAACTTGTTCAGAGATGGAGCTTTGTATAACCATCATTGTTGTACGGTGTCTGAAATATTAGCCAATTTAAAAAAAAAACCTTTGTGATTAGGAAATAATAAAATAAGGTTTATGTGCAATTGCAATTCATTTTTTTTAATTGGCAGCTGGCCAGTACAGGGATTGAGCCCTGGGCCTTGTTTATTAGCACTGTGCTCTCTCTAACCAACCAAAGCAAATGCCCCCCCCCCCCCCCGCATGTTGCAATTCATGACGATAAAAGTATATTTTTCTTACTTAATCAAAGAGGTTGTAAAACTCCCCCTTTATCCCCCTGACTTGACCTGCATGTGAAAAAGGTTGCTTACTGTGGAACTTTACTTCTGGAGTTTCCTTCAGTAGGAACTAGGGAATGCATGTACTTGGACCTCATTTTCTTACCCAGCATTATAAACATTCACAATTTCAGGGCGCTGTTTGTAACAACATTTACCTTTTAGACTGGTTATTTAAAGACCTTGTTAAGTGCTGTACTGTTTTTTTGCTGCCAAAACATTGGGTAATTGTTATCTTGTCTTAGACAATCTCTTTAGTTTTTAGCTTCACCTAGTATATTTACCAGCTGTTTGCTGAAGCTTCTTGTCCGTGCCATAATGTGACGTCATCCATAAAGAATTTTACCATAGAAAATAACTTCATAAATACTTCAAAACTGGCTTTTTAAGAAGACACTTTAGTATATCACTGCTTTAATATTCTAATCATAATCAAATATATATATAAAGAAATGTTTATATTTGAGATGAGTTGGTTAGATTGATGTGGCAAAATGTTAGAATTTTTAAGTTTTTGAATATCCAGTCTTCATGTGGTCTGTTATATTAACTCTTCATTGGAAAGTACTTTGTTCCTTGACAACATTTTGGAAAGCAGTTAGGTACATAGCCTTTATATAGTTTTTTTGTTTGTTTTTAATTTTAAACATCAAGTATACTTCATTTTAGGATTTTTTTTTTTGTATGAAAAGATCTGGGTTTTTTTTTTTTTTTTTGGTGATTCTAAGTATCTCTTCACATTGTTGAAAGTTTTATTGTTTTCAAATTCTGGTTTAAAGTTCACAAGTATAGCAATGAGGTGCAGATAAATCTGCAGACAAAACTGTACTTACTCTTCATTCTATAATAAATGGCACTGGACTTTTTTCTTTTTCTTAAATATAACAAACTCATTTTCACTCTAGGGTCTTTGCTTTTGCTTTCCTCTCTGAAATGTTCTGTCTGCAGTTTTCACATGGATACAAGGATTTTCAGATCTCACCTTTTCAGATAGAATGTTCCCCACCATCCAGTCTGAAGTGTTCTTCCCAGTCATCTTTTGTTCCATACCCTATTCTGTTTTCTTCAAGGTGTTTATTATTATCTGAGTTATTGTTCATTCGTTTGCTTGTCTCCCTTTGTACCACTGTGAGAATAGGGACTACAGCTGTCCTGTTTACTGTTGTGTGCAGTGCCTAGAATGACCTCTTGATACTCTGTAGATGTCTGTTAAATGAGTTAAAAAAGGAAAACCAAATAATTTTCATGTATATGGACTCAATGTAATAAGTGTTGTATTCAAACAAAAATTAGAAGTACTTGATCAGCTATATTTGCAAACCAAACTGAGTAGTACCTCCTTTTTTACTCAGTCATTTAAAATCATTTATTGTTCAAACGCATACACTAAACACATCTTCAAAATTAAAATTGTTGTAGTTAACATGAATTGATTTCACTAAAAGTATCTCTTGTTACAGCATATATATATGGACAAATGACCTTTTACCCAAGAGACAAGTGAGAATTCCTGCATACAAAAACTGTGTTGTTAGAGTGTAATGAACCTTAATTCAGGGCTAGAAAGGCCTACTTACTTATGTACATTCTTTAATTAGGGATCTGCAAAAATAAGTTGTGGATTGATGTTACTCAAGAACGCTTCCCTGGAATATGTCTTAGGGTCAGTGTGTTTTAAAAAAATAAAAGTTCAGACTACCTAGAAAAAAATTTGCAGTCAAATGAAACATCACAGTAAAATAATTTATTTTAGATTCTGATTACTTCTGTTCTTTAAATTCTCAGTTGACTTGGTCCTTTGAGGTAAGGACCAAATTCTAGATTTTAAAAGTGACTTTAGAGTTTCAGTGCTAGGTACTGAACTGGAAAATAGAAGACATGGATGTTTCTACTTTTTAATGCATTGTGTTATTTTTATCCTGTTCTTTTGGATGCTTTTTCATTTCCCTCTCCCCTCCTGTCACCTTTTCTTTTAGGAAAAGCTTTGTCTCATGGAGTGAAAGTGAAAGCCTTCTAGCTTTCTCACATGGGTGAATGTTGTTTTCCATTTATTTCCTATAGCTCCTGAGTATTGGTGTTCCATTGCTTACTTTGAAATGGATGTTCAGGTAGGAGAGACATTTAAGGTTCCTTCAAGCTGCCCTATTGTTACTGTTGATGGATATGTGGACCCTTCTGGAGGAGATCGCTTCTGCTTGGGTCAGCTCTCCAATGTCCACAGGACGGAAGCCATTGAGAGAGCCAGGTATTGATTGTATAGTTAGATAATTGTTGCAAAATTGAGTACATTGTCTTCTATTTGAGGTTATATTTTTCCATGTACGTTATATATGTTCCTACATATAGATAAAAGGAATAAAGGTCATCATAGAAAATTCGGAATTTGTAAGCACTCCGTTTTAATTATAGATGTTTGTTTAATATGTAATGATAAGATATAGCCTTTTTTTAAGTTAGTGAGGTTTCTGTGTTTTGAATAGTAACTAGACCTTTTGGAATCCAGTTTGAAAACTAATTTTTTTTTTCTGTAACCATATATTATTTCTACAAATCTATTGAAAGGAAATAATATAAAATGAGAACAGATGTTTTTGAAAGTGTTATGTATAATGTTGAAAAATTGGTAATAAAAGGGAAATGGTTAAGTAAATTATAAACTTTCATTTTTTCAATGTAGTCATTAAAATGTTAATAAAAAGTTTTTATAATGAAACAAATGCTTAAGATCAAATATTACAGAAAAACACAATTATAGCTACTGTATGATCGGAACTCTTTAAGGACGTGTGTGTGTGCATAAGCATATAATCTTGGCTCTGTCGCTTGCCCTGTGACTTTAACAAAGTAAGCCAGTGCTGGCTAAATAGCATTTTCTGTGGTGAAGGAAATGATTTATATCTGCACTGTCCAGTTTAGTAGCCACTAGCCACATGTAGCTATTGAGCACTTTAAAGTATGGTTCATGTGATTGAGTAACAGAATTTTAAATTTAATTTTAATTAATGTAATTTAAATAGCTATATGTTGCTAGTGGCTATTGATTTGGACAGTGTAGCTATAAGCTTTAGTTGCCTTATTTAATAAATGGGAATAATAGTATTTACCTCGTTGAGTTGTGAGGGTAAAATGAGAATTCGTGTTGAGTGCTCCTTACACATAGTAAGCACTATATATATGCTAATAATTTTTATGTATGAATAGGAAAAGAAAAACGAAGGAAATAAAAATGTTAACAATGGCTATCTTTTTGTTATGGTTTTCATATGATATCCTTTTTTAATTTTTCCATTGTTAAACATGCTGTATAATCTGAACTAAAATTTTATTTTTAAATACTTGTCAAGGTGAAATGTAATTCCTTTTTTCTTCCTAAGGTTGCATATAGGCAAAGGTGTGCAGTTGGAATGTAAAGGTGAAGGTGATGTTTGGGTCAGGTGCCTTAGCGACCACGCAGTCTTTGTACAGAGTTACTACTTAGACAGAGAAGCCGGCCGTGCACCTGGAGATGCTGTTCATAAGATCTACCCAAGTGCATATATAAAGGTTAGTTGCAATATTTTTTGAATATTTTAGACTTAGGAAGTTCTATTTGTTGTTTAAAGAATTGAAACGGAGGTGGGAGGAATAGAAAAATATCTTACGTGTTAAATAATTGTGTTTGTTTTGAGTGTAAAACACATTTCTTGGGGTCATTTATTAATATGATTGGTTATCTAGCTTTGTGGTTGGTTGCCTTTATGCCTGTGTTTTATTAGCAAACTTGTTAAATGTTTTAGAGTAATACATAGGCTCTTGAAAATATTGAGTGAAACCTCCAAACATGTATTCTTTTGACACGAAATTTTGGAAAAATAAGACTGGAATTTCATCTTAGCCAATCTTTAGGATTTCATAGAAGGGAATTCTAAAATTAGTGGAATTAACTGTACCTCATCACGTAATCCCAGGAAGTTGCTTAGGATACAAATAATACAGCCAAATAGTGTCTACAAAAATGGAATTGCTTGATTGTCTTACAACAGCAAACCCAGTATCTCATTTTCAGTTACAGTTCAGTTAGGATATTGGGCATTTTTTTTTTTTTATGTGCAACTTTCAAACAAACCTAGTACAGAGAAGATAATAAACCCCCATATAACCATCATCCGACTTCAACAATTATCAGCATTTTACCAATCTTTAATGTACTTCTCCTCCTTTTTTTTTTTCCTGGAGTAATTTAAAGCCAGCTCTTTTTTTTTTTTTTTTTTTTTTTCCTTTTCTGGC